CTTTAATCTAAAATAAATTTCCATATTTTCATAAATTGAAAACAGATGACTTTTATCAGTTGTTTGTCTTGCTGGCATATGGCTGCTGGCAAAAATTTTTCCAGCAGAAACTAGCAGCTTTCCATCAGAATGAAATGTCAATTTGGTCTCTCAATTTCCCTACTTTGCTGGATTTTTGTGTACGCGAACAGGAAAATCTGATAGTTATTAAAAACTATCAATACGCGAATAAACCTTTAACAGCTGAAACCAACTGAATTTAAATTAACGGAAATTAAATAATACACAAAAAGTGAGAATAATCTAAAAAATAAAAAAGTGAATTTAAATTGGAAGGAGGCAAAAAATAATTTATATAGTAAGTGTTTATTGTGCTTGTGCTTGTGTGAATGTATTTTGTATATACATTTCTATTCTTATTTGACGTTAGTTTTGTTGTTGCCATTCTTTGGACTAGAAATTTGGTTTTTTGCGTTCCTTTACTTTTTTTTGTTATTCTCTTTTGGTCAGCGCATTTTGCTTACGCTCTTGAATTTTAACACTTTTCATATTTTAGACCAAAAAGATAAGGAATGAACCTATTTATATATATATAATATTTTTTAGAGCTATATATGTACAGTATATTTTGTTTTGCTGCCTCTATGCTTAAGTGCATATCTAAGACACCTACCCCAAAATGCGTATCAGAGGCATTATTTTTAACATTTATAAAGAAACTGCTCCGATATATGCATTTAGCATACCTTCACATTGGCGATACCTGCCTTAAAAATTGTGCGACTAGTATCAATTATCAAAGAAAGTATTACGTTTACCGGCACTGGCCCTACAATTACCTAATTTTACAGCTTTTTATTTATTGTGTTCATCTCGCAGAACAACGAAAATGGCTATAAATTTATGTAGTTATATAGATGATTAGATAATATTCGGTAAAAATTTCGCTTGCAGTAATTTCTACGTGGTAAGTGCTTCTCTATTAATTGGTTTCATAGGAATTTGGATACCTTCCCCATTGAAGTAGTAAAGAAAATTCGCTAAAGTGCCTTTTTCGGTTAAGTGCACAAGTTTTTCGTGCAAAGAAGGATGTGCTGCTAAGCAAAATATACTGTACTTAGCTGTGCCTGCACTTAGCTGTGACATCACTAACTTTGTGAAATTTGGCGGTGTCATTGCTTAAAGCAATTATTTTTATAAAAACGAAGAAATTATTTTCCATAGAGAAAATAGGAACAAATGCAGTTTGGCTCCAAATCTTAAATTAGAAGTCAAAATATTGGGATCGATAGAGATGATTGAGCTGAGTATAACGGTATACTTCTTTTTTTAGGGAAACAACAACAACGACAATTATCAAAGTTTAAATTTCAAAATAAGCTATTTTTGAAATCAAGATTTCCTAAAAACAAATAGATTGTATATTGTATAGTTCTTACAAAAATTGAATTAATGTAAAATAATTATATAAAAACAACTTTTGCAGAGAACACCTTTTACAGAGAACACCTTTCTGCGTAGGCGGCCTTCGGCCGCACTAAGGGATAACCCTCACAAAGTAGAATTCTCTTTCTGTGTTGCGAACAAAACGCACTGAACACCTTTTGCAGAGAACACACCTTTCTGCGTAGGCGGCCTTCGGCCGCACTTAGGGATTATAATCCTCACAAAGTAGAATTCTCTTTCTGTGTTGCGAAGAAAAGGCACTGACCACCTTTTGCAGAAAAAACCTTTCTGCATAACCCTCACAAAGTAGAATTCTTTTTCTGTGTTGCGAAGAGAAGGCACTGAACACCTTTTTGCGAAGGCGACGTCGGCCGCACTTAGGGTTTGTAAGCTTTTTTTATAATTATTTTATATTAATTAAATTTTTGTAAGAATTATACAACACATATATAAATTACGCATACCAAATTAAAGGGAATCAAATTTCCAATTTTCACAATCCATCCATTGGTTTTTAAGAAATCTTGATTTCAAAAATAGCTTGTTTTGAACTTTAACTTTTGATAATTATTGTTGTTGTTGTTGCCTATATTTTATTTTCTAATTTGAGATTTGGAGCCCAACTGCATTTATCATGAAACAAAAAAGAAAGTAGTTTCAATAAACAACTTTTGACGGATAATAAAATTTTTTGAAGTTTCATAAACTGTGAGTATTGTCAACGGCCTTCACTTTGATAATATTAAAACAATAAATCGGAGTATTTTCTTTCCCATATTTATATCAATGTAATAACATTTCAAATCAAAAACCATTATCAGTGCTTGGTACTTTTTTTTTACTTACGAGGTTCGCACCTTTTTTTAATCAAAATATTTAAAATGTACACTGTTAAAGGAGATTTCATCGCAATTGTTGTTTTCATTTTGTAATAAAAACCACGCGCGCATTATTCGGTTATTTTTTTGTTTTCTTATTTTGAATGCAATCTTGCGATTTAAAAATCGAATTCTAAAGAATGTTCTTCCCAAATAAATCCTTTTTATATTTTGGTTCAAATTTACTTTTAAACTTCTCATAAGATTTTGCAAAAAATTAGCCTTTGTGATTAGCGCTCATCATTAAATTTCACAAATTTTTAATTTATGCAAAACACCTGAACAGACCGCCCTGACAAACAACTAACAGATCGTCGTTTAAAGCACAAAACCGTGTATCAACAAAATGCACAACTGAGTATGTGAGGTTCATAGTTGCCAACTTGGTGCTTTAAGCACTAGATTTAGTGTTTTTTGAAAATTAAAACGCCAAAAAAAATTATTTAGTGCCTAGTGCTGTTTTTAGTGCTTTTTTCTGAACTAAAATTACTTCGAGATAGTTAAAACCTGAAATAATTTCAAATATTTAAGGCTGTGGCAGCACTGAATTTACAAGAATCTACAAATTTAAATGGACTAAAATACAACCATGATTGATAAAAAGCTGAAGATGCAAACCCACCTTGTTAAATTCTATTCGCGTTGAAAATGCCAGTACGCAAGTAAGTTAAGTATTTCTTTTTTTCTTTTCTAATTATTTGTACAAATTTTGGTTTTTTACCACCTGAGTAAAACACATCGTTTCTTGGTGCTGAATCCAAATCTGGCCTCACAATTGCTCTAGCACTAGAATTTTGAGATATCCTAACCTCAAAGTGCCAAAAACACGGTTTTTTTTAGCGATATTTGAGGTTATATAATGAAAACATCAAATAATAGGCTGATTTCTAATTAGAGCATCATTTTCGTTTGATGCGATTCGATTTTTCTTTCTCGAGATATACGAGATATATATTAAAAAAAATTTGGGCTGCGATTTCCTATAATGGACCATTTCCTATATCACCCAAAGTATTACGAATTTTTTAATGAAATTCGCAGGGGGTGTTGAGGAGGTGCTCATTGACCGATATCATCAACATTTTGTGTACAAATGCTAATAGTTTTTAAGTTATTCGTTGTTAAAATTTCCCCACTGCTTCACAATTATTTTTTTATAAACACTGCACTAATCACTTTTCTTTTTATTAATACACCATCTTTTCTTCATAAACAAATGGATGCACATCTTTTTTCACTAAATATTTAGCCATTAATGCTTATAAAGTGTTCTTAAAATATTTTTCTATTCTCAAAGAATAGTAAACACACAATTGTTCAGCTATGGCCGCCATGAATGAGGTGCCATATCGTTGAAAATGTTAATAGTTCTTTTTAGCCAAAAATACTTTGTGATGCATTACGGGATTGAAGGCTAAAAGGAAAATATTAATTTTACGGTCTTATTTATGCACATATATTTAATTAATTTTCGCCTGCGGGGCTTTTTTCTAAAAAATCCAATACTTCCATGTATCTTGAAAATTTTTAATAAAAAATCGCGTGATTTTTTATTACAAATTTTCGCCTACGGCGCATTTTTCTAAAAAATCCAATACTTCCATATATCCTGAAAATTTTCACCTGCGGTCCTTTTTTTTATTAATTCTTCCATATATAGTGAAAATATCCAATAAAAAAGCTATATCATATATGTACATGTCCACTTTATTATTTACGTTTTCGTTGATTCCCTTTTCAGTACTTTTTTTTACACATTTTTTGTGATGTGTGGCAGCACCGCAATTTCAGTTCACTCGATGTACAAAGGAAAATGTGAGGTTAAATTGCACTTTTTTTACAACTTTAACAACGAACTACTTAAAAACTATAAGCCTCCGGAGGGGGGGGTTTTCAGATTTAGAATCACAAAAAGCCGCTCTAAACCCCCTCATTTTTTTTTTTCAAAGCCTGGTCCATTATTGGAAAATTTTCCCAAAATTTGGTGCTTTTAATGTGGTAAAACGCTTTTTTCCCAAGTTTTTGGTGCTTTTTGAAAATCAAAAGATGGCAACACTGTTGAGGTTGCATAAATTATTTTGTAGAGAGTAAAAATACTGATATTTCAAAATGCTTCTCTTTTTTTACAAAGAAATCGCATTTCAGGACAATTGGATAAGGCTTGAGCCAAGAGCTTATGTGAGCAAATCCAATTTTTGGCAAAAAATGTCAGTTACGCGGTTTTGCAGAACGACGATACGCGGTTTTGTACTTTAAGCGACGATATGTAAGTATACACTTTCTTCATGCTTTCTGAAACCTAGTCGTCAACCCCATTTTCGAAATCATGTAGCTGGCATAATTTTCTAATTCATCATAGTCCACATCTTTGAATGTACTGATAAAATCTTCTGCTTAAAACAAAAATATTTCTTCTAGTGATCAGGTAGCATAAATTTGATGAAACTTCATAACTTTATTAAAAGTCAAATGGTTAACAACAACATCGAATGTCATTAAATGAAACTACCTTCTTTTTTGAATCATGGCATTTATGCCAAAAAATATGGCCGACAAGATATGACACTTGCTCAAATCGATTCGATACAAGTACTCTTCTTTCGATACCAAGTGGGTATCGAAACAACGATTCTAGTAGAAAAAGTTGTTGGTGTCGAAACAAAAGTATCGAGTACATACTCGTATTTACTTGTATCGGAACATTCCTAATAACATTTGTTATCCGATTAATAGCGGTTGATAGCTCGGAAAAAAGAGATAAAATGTCGGAAAATAAGAAAATTGATCTATCTGGTGATGGTGGTGTGCTGAAAGAAATAATTAAGGATGGACAAGGCGACGAGCATCCGTTGAATGGTTGTAAGGTTTCCTTACACTATACGGGAAGATTAGTCGATGGAACCGTGTTTGATTCGAGCGTGGAACGTGAACCGTTTGAGTTTGATTTGGGAAAAGGTTAAATTCTAGAAGTTTCTTAATAAATTAAAATGAATTATTATTCATTCCGCAGGACATGTCATCAAGGCCTTTGATATGGGCGTGGCTACAATGAAATTAAATGAGAAATGCTTTCTCACATGTGCTCCTGAATATGCTTACGGTGTAGCTGGAAGCCCACCTAGTATTCCTCCCAACTCAACACTAATATTTGAGGTACATACATGTCAACGTTTCCTTTGTTCGAGGCTGGTACAAAAAATGCAGAGAACGTGGCACCGTCCCGTTTTCCAGCTTGAAAAACCAAAGACCAAAGTGGCATGTTTTACTTTCACCTCCGACTGCAGTGCTCCTCAGACGAGCCTCTTTAAAATAGGGAAAAAATCGTTTTTGTTTACAAAATGCCACAAATATTTAAAGTACACCAAACCTTTTGCTGGGACCAGAAATAACCACCATTGGTCCAACTCTGGCTACGCTAGTTACAGTATTTGGGAACAAATGCAGTTGGGCTCCAAATCTCAAAAAACAAAAAAAAATATTGGGATCGATAGAGATGATTGAGCTGAGTATAACGGTATACTTCTTTTTTTGGGCAAACAACAACAACAACAAAAATTATAAAAGGTGAAAGTTCAAAATAAGCAATTTTTGAAATCAAGATTTCTTAAAAACGGATGGATGTATCTTGAAAATTTTGATCTCATTTAATAGGAAATTTGATTCCTTTTAATTTGGTTTACGTACTTTATATATATGTTGTATAGTTCTTACAAAAATTGAATTAATGTAAAATAATTATAAAAAAAAAACACCTTTTGCAGAGAACACCTTTCTGCGTAGGCGGCCTTCGGCCGCACTTAGGGATTATAACCCTCACAACGTAGCATTCTCTTTCTGTGTTGCGAAGAAAAGGCACTGAACACCTTTTGCAGAGAACACCTTTCTGCGTAGGCGGCCTGCGGCCGCACTTAGGGATTATAACCCTCACAACGTAGAATTCTCTTTCTGTGTTGCGAAGAAAAGGAACTGAACACCTTTTGCAGAGAACACCTTTCTGCGTAGGCGGCCTGCGGCCGCACTTAGGGATTATAACCCTCACAACGTAGAATTCTCTTTCTGTGTTGCGAAGAAAAGGCACTGAACACCTTTTGCAGAGAACACCTTTCTGCGTAGGCGGCGTCGGCCGAACTTAGGGTTTGTAAGCTTTTTTTTATAATTCTTTTACATTAATTCAACTTTTGTAAGAACTATACAACATATATATAAAGTACGTATAGCAAATTAAAGGGAACCAAATTTGCTATTAAATGAGATCAAAATTTTTAAAATCCATTCATTCGTTTTTGAGAAATCTTGGTTTCAAAAATTGCTTATTTTGAAATTTAGCCTTTGATATTTCTGGTGTTTGTTGTTTGCCCAAAAAAAGTACACCGTTATACTCAGCTCAATCATCTCTATCGATTCCAATATTTTTTTTTTTAATTTGAGATTTGGAGCCCAACTGCATTTATGCCCAGTATTTGTTATCCCTTTCTGTGTCGCCTGAGTCGAGAAGGTCTGTAACATTTTTTTTGAACATGCATATTCAAAATGCCGTGGGGGTGATATCATAAATTCGTCTTGCGTAGCCGTCTTTCGATTTTCCCCTATTTTGAAGAGGCTCGCTTGAGGAGCTCTGTAGTCGTTGCCACGACAGTCGGGTCTACGCAACCGGAACGACCCAGATTTATGTACGTATATCTGGCCAAGAACTGTCACTCCAGCATCACTCCCAAAAAACTCTGGCGAATTTTTATGATGTTACAACAATAGGAGCCCTGTAGTCTGAGGAGAAAGATACCTACTTGGTCTTTGCTCTTTCAAGCTTGTGAGGTGAGTGTGCCACGCTCCCCAAATTTTTTTGCACCACCCTCGACATAAATACTTTTCGGAAATCAGCCCGTGACTTCAAAACGCATGAAATATCATTGCAGTTGGAAATGCTTGGATGGCATGGTGAAGATGTCAGCCCTAATAAAGATGGTAGCATCGAGAGATACATTATCGAAAGTAGTGATAAAAAGCGGTCGCCTGGTGAAGGAGCTCTGGTTAAAGGTAAATAAACTTGTTTATAACAAGTTAAATATAAACATATCTTTTAAGTGCTGGCCGGTTAGTGTATATTAAAAGAAAACATTTATGGCCCTATTATGTATGGCGACTGGGGTCTAGTTGCTGGCCATGGCTACCAGTATCGTAATTTGTATTATGTATAGCGATTAGTATCAGTATATAGAAAAGCTCAGAAAACATCCGAATTTACTTTTTTAACATGAACTTTTCCAAGTAATTGGCAACTTTGCTCCAATGTGTTCAACAATTTATGTGAACTAATAACAAAATCGTCGATAGCGGGAAACTGAAAATTCCGCTACTAGACTCAGTAGCCGACAGTCAGTAGCCAGTAGCCATACGTGATGCTAATTTTAGTATAAGGTTGCCCATCGACACCATACACAATAGGGTCACTAGACTCAGTACGATATTATTGGTAGTCAATTGCAACGCAAAAAACTTGCATTTAAAAATTATGGATGACTATAAGTTAATTTATTTCCATTACAGTTCACCTAACTGGCAAGTATAATGGAAATACTTTTGAAGATCGCGATGTGGAGTTTGATTACGGCGAAGGATGTGATTGTGAGGTTATCGAAGGTGTTGAAATTGCACTCGAAAAAATGACGGTGGGCGAAACATCAAGGTAAGCTGACACCCCTATGCTGTAATCCGTCGTAGTTTCGATTTTGCTACAAATCGTAAAATTGGTATGCTGAAACCCGCGTTGTCGTATCGTAATTTCGAAATTCGTAGGCCATCATCGAAATTCGTAATGTGGGTATGCCTGGAGCTAAAGAGGATGTGGTGGAATTATGGGAAAGCGTTCCAAGAATTAAAGCGGCACAATATCTAGTGGAATGGAGGCCCTTAAAAGGAGGGAGCTTACATTTTATCATTTAAGCTAAATGGATCAGAACAATCTCCTAGCAATCTCTTTTGTATCTTAATGCAACTGTTACTAACTAACTAATTTATTTATAATTTCACTATGCATTTGCGATTATATTTATTTTGATTTGTTTCTGTCAAAGCAGCTGATTCAGAACTTCGAATTTCACTATTTTAGTTGGCAACGCCGTTGATAGTTACGATCGGATTACAGCATACCAATTTTCGAATTTTCGGAAAGGAGCTACGAATTCGTAACTACGAACTTTCGGATTACAGCGTACGGGTGTGATTCCAAAAACTTGAATACCAAGTAATTTTTAGCAAAAAAAATCGCCTTAAAGAAAATATATATATATCCATATATTTCATGATTCATTGATCGGATCTAAACCAAATTAGTATGGGACCACCTCTGAGACACTACCTTTCCGTTGCAAAAAGAATTATCGAATTATCGGTTGACGTGGTGTAAAGTTATGCGGTTACATGCATAAAAAAAAAAAATATTCCCACGAACTGATAACCTCCTCCTTTTTTGGAAGTCGGTTAAAAAAACTCAATGTAAACCAAATTTCCCGAAATCTTAACGAAATATTTAGGAGAATCTTATTTCTTTAACGATTTTTTACGAATCTTCAAAGAAAATAATATGAAGTGGTTGACACGAATTCGTAAAGAAATTTCTGTACGCTAAATGAAGAAAATTCTGAAAAAATTCTGCTGGAAAATCTTCACATAGCAGCATTACTCTCATTGCTTTACCGATTTTCTTCCGAAATTTCTGAAAAGAATCTAAGTGTGTACAGTTTATCTCATTTTAGAAAATTCGGCAAAAAATCGGATATCTACGAATTCTTTAAAATTTCTCTACAATTCAGAATACTCTGAAAAATGGTTTGCAGAGTATACATGTATGTACATACATATGAACAAAGCTTGAGTTTTTTTGTATTGTAAATACAGTGACCCAAATCGTTGGTGATACTGCAAAACGGTCTATGTCTATTAGTACTCTTAACACTTACAGTATCGGTCATATCTATAGTACGCCATTTCAAAGTGATATTGTGTACCACTTATGTTTATTTATTTATTTTTAAGAATTTTCAATTAAAATATAGTTCTTTCTCTAACAAAACCCATATAAACCCAAGTTTAACAATTTGTAGAAAACTACAAAAAAATTTAACAAAATTTCACCTAAGTTTCAACCTTTTTTTTGGGAAGTGTTAGAATTTTTCTGTATACACATTTTTATAGCCCAATTTTAGTCTGATAATGTGCAAGTTTCAAGTGGATAAAGGTTACCGTTGATTTTTTAGAATTTTTTCGCCAAAGGTGTTGCGGTTTTCTTCCATATACAAATAAATTGAGTTTATTCATTATATCGTCGCTCCCAACGAAGAGTAGCACATCTCAAATTACCGTGGAAGACTAGCACGTTTCACTATTCGCGTCGAAGACTAGCACATTTCATTATTCGCGTCAAAAAGTAGCACATTTCAGATTTTTGCGTCGAAGACTAGCACATTTCATTATTCGCGTCGAAAAGTAGCACATTTCAGATTTTTGCGTGGAAGAGTAGCACATTTCAGATTTTTGCGTGGAAGACTAGCACATTTCACTATTCATGTGGAAGAGTAGCACATTTCAGAATTTTGCGTGGAAGAGTAGCACATTTCAGATTTTTGCGTGGAAGAGTAGCACATTTCAGATTCTCTCGTAGAAGAGTAGCGAATTCATATAAAGTGGTACTAGCAGCCGTACAAAAAGCAAACATACATGTACGTTATAATTATTTCTCCTCGACTAAGCTGAGAGTTTAATGTTGTGTATTGAGCGTTTCGGTATTTTATTACAAATAGAATAAACGTTTTTTTTCCTCCTACTTGTTTTGACGCATATTCGCGTCTTCCTCAGGGAATCTATTTATAAATACGAGAAACATATATGCACATTAGGGTGGTCCAAAAATGCATGTGAAAAAGTAAAGTCGGAATTTTTATGCTCTCACCCCTAGGATTGTTCTATACAGAAAAAATATACCCCTATTTTTTATTTTGAAAACAAAAAATATTTATAGGTCGCTCAAAGCGCCCAAAGTTTTCCATGTATTTTATATGGGGAAAAAAACTTTTGGTAGAAATGGTTTGGAATTAAAAAAAAAACTAATATTTTTCTATCAGAAAACTCTTCATCTGCAGGATTCCCAATAATAATACCCAATTGTTTATTTAACCATTTTTTCATCGCAACTATAATTTGCAGGTCCGCCAAAAACCTACAAAAACCCCGTTAGTAAAAAAAATACATGGAAAACTTTGAGCGCTTTGACCGTCCTCTAAATATTTTTTGATTTTAAAATAAAAAAATATGGGTACACTTTTTTCTATATAGAACAATCCTAGGGGGTTAGAGCATTACAATTCCGACTTTACTGTTTTGGACCACCTAATGTAAATGCAGTCATATCAAGAGCACCTCATTTCAAAGTGATATTGTTTTCCACTTATGTTCATTTATTTATTTTTAAGAATTTTCATTAAAATAAAGTTCATTCTCCGAAGAAGTCCATATAAATCCAAATTTGTAGAAAACTAAAAAAATCTAAAAATGTTCATCCAAATGTCAAAATTATTTTCTCAGAATTTTTTGTGTATATAGATTTAAAGCCCTTTCAATTTTATTGCAATAATGAGCAAGTTTCAAGTGGCTAAAAATTTCCGTTGTTGCGGTTTTCTTCCATATAAAAATAAATTTTGTTTATTCGTTATATGGTAGCGAATGCGACAAAAAGAATCAAAGGTTTTAAGGCTCTTTAAGGCACCATTATCATGGTATAATAATAACAACGTGTTGTCAGTAACTTAACCTCACTTTTTCGGCAGGTCTATTCCGGACACGCATTTTAAAGTATTAGAAAAGATACTAACTATTTACTACTTTTAATCCGTTTGTGCATACTATTTCAAATTAAATGTAGAAAAATGTATAATCACAGGCTTATAAGCCTGAATATATGCTTGTATCGTCAGCTCCACACAGCTTGGACATATATTGTAACTTATAAAAAAGTAAAAGCCGTAAAATAAAGCAATTTCGTATAAGACTAAATAATTTTTGAAATAGATTAAAACACATAAATATCGATAATATAAGCGAAATCATAATTTAACCAAACTGCCGCTCTATTCTAGTGTATTAGTAGTCCATTTGGCTCGATATTATGACAATGCAGCAAAAGATATTTAATATAAAAAAATCGCCTTTCATACGATTTTTGTGTACGTCTTTTTCCATTGATCACTACGATATCTTTTATATTTTATATTTTGAGGACACAAATTATACAAACCCAGCAATTTTAAATATTAACATCGTTCTGAAAACACCAAGTTCTTTAAAAATCGCGATAAAACCAAATACTAAAATGGAGTATTTTAGATACCATTTCCCAACGAATAGTAGTATAAAAATTAAGATCGGCAGCACTGAAAATAAGCATGCCGATCTTGTCAAAATTACAAGAAACACGTCGCTACTGACAACACCTTGTTATTATTCCACCATGCACATTATCACACTAAAATTGAATCGGCTATAAAGCTTCATACTCAAAAAAATTGTAACACTTCTGAGTATTAAATTTGAAATTTGAATGAAAATTAGTTGATTGTTTTTAGATTTCTACAAAATTTTAAGCGTGGGTTTACATGGTTTTTTTAAATGAACTTTATTTTATTTGAAATTGAACATTTTGAAAACAAAATTTCAATGGTTAACCATAAAACAATATGAATTGCTTAAAGCTTAAAGGGGAAAAATGCCTTTAAAAAAATAAAAGTGGATGATCTCCAGCAAATGATCACTAAACGCTATATACCGTCTGAATTTCATGAATTTTATAATGGAATTATAGAAATATAAAATAAGCTCTTGAATTTCCAATATAAATTATGCTTTTATGATTTAGTTTAAACCCTAATTGTGCTACTCTTCCACGCAAATACTCTTCTGCGCAAAAATCTGAAATGTGCTACTTTTCCACGCAAAATTCTGAAATGTGCTACTCTTCCACGCGATAGTGAAATGTGCTAGTCTTCCACGCGAAAATCTGAAATGTGCTACTTTTCGACGCGAATAATGAAATGTGCTAGTTGTTGTTGTTGTAGCGGCTACAACAACCCCGCCCAGATCGGTTGGTATCTCAGTCGTTGTCGTCAAGTTCCACTAACGGCAACCCTAGGAAGCGTGCAGCTTCTGCGGGGTTTGCCCATAAGGACAAGGTCGTTAGGGATGTCGGGTTTGCCGGGCATGCGAAGAGATGTTTCGAGTCATGTGGGGTCTCTCCGCATGCCGGACATTCATTAGGCACATCCTCATTCAGCCTACTCAGGTAGGAGTTTAACCTGCTGCAGTAGCCGGAGCGAAGTTGTGCAAGTGTGGTGCGCGTCTCCCGAGGCAGATGAAGCTCCGTCTCGTCAATGTCCGGAGGTGGTGTGCCTAGAACGGCATTCACAGGTCTAGAGTCTACATAACTCGAGACTGAGTCCCTGTGAATGCCGTTCAAGGCCTGTCTGTAGGCTGTCGGGTCCAGAGGTTGCTTAATGAACCTCTGGACTTCGTCCGTTAGTTCATATAGATGCCTCCTGACGTGCCTAGGCGAGGGCTCCTCTGCAAGCAGCTGTCTGCACGGGTGGCCACTTCTGTGGGTCCCGATCAGGAACTGCTTGCAGAGCATTATATTGTGCT